CATGGGGTCAAAGCAATTTTGTGGATATCCGAAGTGTAGTAAGGAGGTCAGATTAATCTGTATTTTCAGCAGGAGTCTGTATCACAATTAGCCTATTATATACAGGGCAGGAGAAAAACCTATGATTCGATGTTTTATCACATTTTCTTTTCAGCAAATATATTTTGCAAAATGTCAATGGTTCTCTTAATGGTCACTCATCCCCAAATTCACTATAATAAGCCTGCATTTGCAAAGAAAGAGCACAAAAGAACTTCTTTAAATAATGCAAATATTTCTTTCTTCATTAGACTTATGCAAATTTGACTCAATGGGGGGAAATGGTCAAGTTGGCAACCTTTTTGAAATAGAAGATTATGACACTAGTACAATATATCCTCTTTTAAAATGTCATATTGACACTTTAGAACTTTATAAAAAATAATATAAGGAATGATATGTGATTTATGGCTCAATATAAAAACATGTTTTTAGACGTCTGTGTATGGTTAAAAATTTGCACAGATATGGGGATATTTGGTATGTCTGGGATATCACAGAGTCATTATTATTCACTTGATAAATAATTGAATTTAGTTCACAAAATAGGTTTAGTGATACCAAAGAATATGTCTAAATGTGCATTGTAAATATCAAACACTCTGCCTGCAATAATTTTGTACATTATCAATTAAAAGAATTTTCTATAACAATGATATTTCTCTTTCAGCTTATAAAAGATCTAACCTCAAAATTATATATATATATATTTAATTTTTTCTATATTCAATATATTATATTTTCTTTAATGAAACAATAGTTATTGTGTATCTTATTTATGCCTTGCATATTAGACATAGTTTTGAATAAAACAGACTCAATAAAATGTAGAACCAGATGAGGTGAGCTATTGAGTGTTTATGAAAAAGACAACATTTCTTCTTAATCTATTTTCACCAGACTATAATTTAAAATTAGGAAAAACAGCCGAAGCCGGTTTGGCTCAGTAGTAGAGCATCGGCCTGCAGACTGAAAGGTCCCAGGTTCGATTCCAGTCAAGGGCATGTACCTTGGTTGCGGGCACATCCCCGGTAGGGGGTGTGCAAGAGGCAGCTGGTTGATGTTTCTCTCTCATCAACTTTCTAGCTCTCTATCTCTCTCCCTTCCTCTCTGTAAAAAATCAATAAAATATATTAAAAAAATAAAATTAGGAAAAACAATGGAAGTTAACTGATCAATGTTCATGGCAATTTCCATGATACTTTTATTTTTCAGCTCAATTTAAAAAATATTCATTGTTCTAGTTTGATGCTGTAGATGCAGCACTGAAATATATCACCTGCCTTCATGCAGTTTAATCTTTCAGTTAGTATTGTGATATACATAAAATTCAACATATTGAAAATAGTGTGGCTTACAATTTATTTAAAATACAAAATGATCCATAATATTTTTACTTGACTGGTATTAATCTAGTAGAAAATGTTTGAGACACATATTTAAGTGTTTACTGGAGTTTTTCAGTAATGAAATGCTTTTTTCAGAAAATGTCATATTTAATATATCTAGGTTTAGTGATTCTAAACAATTCTAAATATTTAGAATTGCAATGGGATGAGATGGCTGTGAGCTTATTTACTTATTCGACATTTTTTGAGACTTTTAACTCTTCTAGACTGCATGTATCTTTGTTAGAATGCCCATTAAATTTATACCTCATTTGCTTATCCTGCTTAGAATTATAATTTGTCTTTTTTTGTCATGGTTTAAAATTTAATTTTCATTTTATTTCATGATAGCAAGAAGGACACTCAGTGTAACAGAAATGCTACCTTCCAATAAATCTTTAATAATACTGATGGAAAGTTCTGGTGTTCGTGTGTTAGCAAAGATAGATCTAAAGTATAGCCAGACTTTTTTTTTTTTATCTTCTTAGGCAAACATCTTATCAAGCTGTTCTCTTTTACTAGTTCTTATCTCTCTATTAAAAAAAATGCAATCTTGTCTCTATAGTTAACCAAGGCAGAAACATTAATTATCCCTTTCGTCCAGTTAATAATCAGTACATTAACAACTTTCTTATAGGTCAATACCTTTTCTAAAATTTTCTTATTCCAGAAATAAATCTAAATATTTCCCATAAAAATATTTAATTAATATTTAAAAATCATGTAACATTGTAAAATCATTGTAAAGTATACAAATAAATGCAACTTTAAATTATATAATTGACACAACTAGGTAATCAAGTTGATAAAAATAAAATATAAGGTATAATACACATTAAAATTATCCTGTAATTATCAAGAAAACACACATTTTTTATTGTGGTCTGTCACATTCAAAAAAGAATAGTTCTAAGCCAAACATAAAGGAAAAAAAAACTATTTTCAGAGAAAATGCGCACACATACGTGAATAAACTATCCATCATTAAATACGAAACATTTATAAATCCTCCTGATCAAAATTGCTAGGAGATGCTGGGTTTTGAATTTAGGATGACAAAAGTAGTCAGACTTATGATTGTAGTCTTAATTTGAAATTTTAACATGTAAGATTATACTGGCATTATTATTGCCTCCTTTCTAAATCCTTTTCATAGTATAAACCAAGCTCTCGAACAGAATATTCCTAAGAAATAAATGTAAACATTGGTAGCAGATTAACATTGTTGAAGAAAGGGATTTGATGAGATTACTATTCAATATAATATAATCTGATTCTATTTGAATATTTCTAGATAGGAAGTTAGAGATGGATACTGTGTTCCTTCAGTATAAACTATTTGAATTAAAATGTGACTCGTGAAAAATGCAGGCTCTTTCTACAATGTGTGAGTTATTACTTTTCTCTTCACTTTTTTTTATTTTTTAAGTAGAACTTTCCAAATGTAGACTGAAAAATAACCTTTATTTCTTGGATAGCAGTCAAAATCTCCTTTCTTTGTCACCTAATGAAGAATTATTTCTGTAGAAGAAGAGCATCCGCTAATGTCTCTGGAGAAAGCTGTTAGTATGAGATTGTCACATTTCTTAGACAGAAACGTAATGCCAAACATTAATGTAGACATTCACTTTCACAATCATTCTCACATCTTACCTCTCCCTTCTGCTTTGATGAAGGTTATGTGGGAAGGTTGCGAAAAATAATGAGCTGAGTTTTACAAGTAGAAAGATTATCTAATTCCTTATTGTTTCTTTATTTTATTTTTTCTCACTTGAGAAAATGGAGCCCATCGTCAGTGAAAGGATTGATGATGGACATTCGAGTGAATTTGAATGTGGAAAGCCATGCAGTGTAAAAATAAATCTGGAGGATTTTATACATGCAACACTGTGGCAACTCAGATGTGCCCAGCAGTCCCACTTTCACAAATACCTTTTTCTGGTGCCACATATTCCTTTGTATTTTATCTCCCTGGTTTTTTTTTTAGCTGACTCAAAAGTTTAGCATGGGATACTGTGCAGGAGAGATGGTTCTCTCATGGGAGACAGAATCACTTGACTCCCCAATATCCTCTTCTTCCTCACTGACAGTGGTGCTTGTCATCCTCTTCTTCCTCACTGGCAGACAGTAGTGCTTGTTTAGATTTTGTTCAAGTAGCAATAGGTCCATCTAAACACTTGCTTCCTCAGACTCCCTTGCAGAACAATGGCCGTGGGAAATCGTACTGGCCAATGAATACATATTTAATCTTTGAGGAGAGCATCTCTTCCCAAAGAGATGGTTGGAGCCTTACTAGGAGGAATCATCTTGCTTGTTCTCCTTCGCTCACATGCGTTGACTTCAGACTAACATCTTGAGAGGCAGAAGCCCTCTTGAGACGGGAGAAAATAAAGCCAACACACAGAGCAGGTTGTGCGTACAGTAGAGCACCAAGCTAATACCTGCAGCTGCCTTCTACAGGTTTCTTCTTATTATCTGAGACAAACCACCCCTTAGCTAGTATTCAGTTTTTATACTTGTAACTGAATGATTAATAGACTAATTTTTTTACTTTATCGTGTTATTTTTATTAACCAAGAGGAGCAAATGTAGTAGATATTGAGCAGGAAGATGCTCTGTATATTTCTAACCAACTTCTTCAGAAAATTATGTAGTTTTTGCAGAATATTAACTTTATTTCTGGATAACTTAAAGAGAATTGATGTATATGATCAACTATTGTTCGGGAAGACAAGTTACTTGATCAAGGCAAGCGCTGGGAAAAGGGAAACAAGTAAAAATTGACATTAGAGTATTTTATCCCATGGTCATACCATTGTTGCAATGAACCATAGTATTTTTCTTCTATCTTGCATTGTGTTGTTCTCAAGGAATGATTGAAAGTTCTATTGATTCCATCCAAGACAAATAACATTTTTTTTTAAAGATTGGAGCCTTAATTAGTTTTAGCTTCCATTCAGGACTAATTATTTACCCACTGACTCTAGTCAATGTCACGTTGCTTGAAACAATTTTTTGTAAGGGAAATTTGACAACTTGTACCAAAAGTCTTAAAAAATGTATGATTTTACAATGTCATTTGTAGAAATTTATTTTAAAGAGATAATCTGAGTTAAACAAGTTAAATGACCAAAAAGCGGAGATTCTTCAAATAAGTACTATTTAATTTATTCTTTGGCATATTGTATTCTCACTAGAAATAATGTAGAATGTTATTTGATTAATAACTACTCACCACTTACTATTAACATTAGCAGGCTATGCTATATCATATGTGATATCACCCCAATTTCAGGAAAAGAAAAGAACAGGAAAAGAGATTAGTAACCTCTGATAAGAATGTTTTCTCTCTGAATATTTGGCTTATGAGTGTTTTGTTCTTTGTATTTTTTATCTTTTCAATTTCTGCCATTTAATTTATATGACTCAGAAAAAAATATGTTTAAAGATATATTGGCTATTCACGAAGTGATTCTAACATTGAACATATGTTAAGGTTAACTCATTTTGATTAACTACCTTTTCATCAACAAAAGGTTTGACCATAAATCTGTTTGTTTGTTTTTAACACAGAAATCCTAAATGGTGGTGTCTACGTAGACCAGAACAAGTTTCTTTGTTACGCAAACACAATCCATTGGCAAGATATTGTTCGGAATCCGTGGCCTTCCAACTTGACCCTGGTGTCCACAAATGGTAGCTCAGGATGTGAGTAGCATTTTCCTTTTTAAATGTCTGAAAATGTTCTTCTACTTCTTATGAAAATGAACAGATTTTGTTTATCCTGCCATTGATAATATTTGGAATTTTGATTGCATCCATTGAGCTGTGTTGTTTTATACAACAGAATAATCTTTTATTTGTAATTTACTCTTTTTTCGGGGGGATGATACTTCCCCTTTACAAATGACTATTTTATTAGCATTAAGGAGGTTTTTCAATAAATCAAAATTATGTTACCATATTTTCAACTGATATGTGCCCCGTTGTCCATAAACTTAAGGCTGATGTCTAATGACTGCTTCACCACTGAGATTAAGGTAGTAGAACAACAATGTGCTTTCCTATTTATTATAAATTTAAAAAATTAAAAACTGTTGAACGTTTTAAAATTCTTAAGCCTTCATTTGCCCCTAAAATCCTCATGACAATCTCAAAACACAATAAGTAGAGTCCAAACATATATATTTTATATATAAGAAATATGTTATATTCTGGTTTTAGTCTGTAAATAAACAACCCAATTTACCAATCTTAAAAAATGTATTATTTCTACCATAGAAGATTTATTGGATTCAAAGTGTTCAATGTAATTAAATTATAAGCAAGTAATATCCAATCATTAAAACCTTTGAAAAATTTTCTGTCAAGAATCAGTGTCATTTTCATAAAGGAGGCTAAGTTGCCCACATATTTATTATTACTGATGTTTGTATGAAAATAGAATCTTTATTAAGTGTTAACCTGGGTTTTATATTTCTCATCTAATTTATATTTCCCACTTAAAATCATAACTATCGTCACACAGTTCAACAATCATTTGAAATCAATTTCAACACAATCAATTTCAAATGATTTGTACTGATTGTGTTATCATGCTTTATAAGAAACCAAACTCCAAAGGACAGGTATTAAGTTTCAATACAGTTCTAAGAATTTAATGGGGAAATGTGAATATATTTGATTCAAACTGACAGCTGTGTTTCAATAAATAGCTGGGACTTTTTTTTTTAAGTAGAGTAACATAATTTTCTTCTCGCTTTTGAGCAGAAATTTGTATGCAATTTCATCTTTACAGTGTTCAAGTTGCCTACCTCATAAAATTATATGAGAATAAAAGATTGAATCTGTTCACACTAACAAGGCAAATGATGTGTTTCAGAAATGGCTTCCATTTTCAGTCTGCTCAGACTATGGTACATTATGTATAGGAAATGCATAATGGCTTGATAAGAGGAATGGCCCACTGACTGTCAGCCTGTTAGCGGGACTAGCCTGTAAGGCATGATCAAGATCAGACAAGAATAAAGGCCAGGACAGAAGGCAAAAGGAAGTGTGTCCACCAGCCACATAGAATATGGAAGAAAAGAGGTCAGAGAAGCTTGCTGCACTTTCACAGATGGTGTCTCTGTGCTGTTCATCTCAGTGGATCTGGATGGCTGTGCCTATAATTAGGCAACCAGAGCTGCATTTCTTTTTGCCTGCAAGTAATTGCAAGCACAAAAATTATAAATGCAAAATAGAGTCCTAATGAATGGTACTTTGCAACTTAACCACCAATTGCTTATCAATGTTTTATTCTTCATATACTAGTTCTATTTGTTGGCTTATTATATATATATATAGTACATTCCACCATAATTGATGATAATGAATTGGTTGGTCTTTGAATATCGATCTCCTATGTTCTTATCCTTAGTTAGTTTCTTCCTTGACTTTCTTCCCAGGGGTGATCACAGATACTCCCATAGCCACACACCACCAACCACTCAGTCAACCAAGTTTAAAACAGGATAGTCATCATTGCTTCACCTTTTCTTTGGTCTTGGCATTTATTTAATCATCAAATCATGGCAAATTTGCTTATTTCGCATAGTTCTTATTTCCATTACTCTAGCTCAAGACTTCATCTGTTGCCAGAGTTAATGGGAAAAAAAATTCTCTGAATTCTTAATATTTTTGAGACCATGGATCCTGTATAGTGAAACCCATAGTCCCATTGTTATAATATTTTTAAATTAAAAAGCACAAAAATATGTTATATTTTAAATTCATAAAAATTAATACATTTATGAAATATACTATTATACAAAGGATTGCAATAAAATTATATTAATTACATATACCATCATACTTAAAAAAGAAATATATGATATAGTAAATGCTTATTTAGTTGTACATTAAATAAAAATTCTATTAGTATAATTAATATGTAGTGGAGTTTTGAAACAGTGGTAGGCATAAATTCTATTTTTAAAGGACAGTTTCTTTAACAAATAATGTTGAGAAAACTAGATATCCACAAGTTTAATGTTAGACTTTGATTTTACATTATATTTAAATATAATTCAAATGGATTAAATACCTAAATATAAGATCCCAAACTATAAGACTTCTAGAAAAAAAAACATGGAGGAAAAGCTCCTGACATTGGATTTGCCAGTGATTATGAAAGATGACATTACAAGCCTAGGCAACGAAAGCAAAAATAGAAAAATGGGTCTACATCCAACTTAAAACTATGTTCATCAAGGGATAAAATCAAAGAGTAAAAATACAACTTACAGAATAGGAGGGAGATATTTACGAATGAATGAATGGGAGGGAGATATTTATGAATGAATGATGCATGAATTCATACACCAAGAGGGTCCCTCAGCCTGGCCTGCGGGATCTGACTCCAACCAGCTCCCTGACATCCCTTGAGAGGTTCTGGATTATGCGAGGGCACAGGCCAGGCCGAGATGCACCACTAGTTCTGATTTGTTTCCTAACACCCATTCTGTAAGTTGTATCTGATAAGGAGTTAATATCCAACAACTCAACGATAACAATAAAATAAAAAACCTGGTGCAAGAACTGGCAAAAGATCTCAATAGACATTTCTCCAAAGATGACATACAAATAGCAATAAACATACAAAGATAGTCAACATCACTAGTAAGTAGAGAAATGCAAAGAAACTCCATGAAATGTTACTTCACACCTATTAGAATGACTACCATCAAAATACTAGAAAAATAGTAAGTTTTGGTGAAGATGTGGATATATGTACAAACCTGTGAAATTGCTAAATAGTGCAGTTGCTATGGAAATAGTGCGGAGTGTCCTATACATTTTAAAATAGAACTACCATATCATCCATCAATCTCATTTCTTATTATATATCCAAAATTTTTGAAAGCGGGGCCACAGAGAGGTATTTGCACACATATATGCATAGTAGCTTTATTCACAACCAGAGGCCCGATGCATGAATTCATACACCAATAGGGTCCCTCAGCCTGGCCTGCGGAATCTGACTCCAACCAGATCTCTGACATCCCTTGAGAGGTTCTGGATTGTGCAAGGGCACAGGCCAGGCCGAGATGCACCACTGGTTCTGAATTGCTTTCCAAAATCCAAACCAGCTAATGATGAAAGGACAGTATGTGAGAATTGGCAAATACATAAAAGAGAATTAAGTTCACAAATATAATTCCTGGAGCAATTATTTGTTTAAACCAGATGGTCTGTCTGAGTTAAATCAATTAGGAAAACTTAAACCTACATTTTTCTTTTAATGACTCATATATCTTAATAATTGCTCACTCTTAACTAATATTGCATTTTATCCCATATAGATAACTTTCTTGAACTAGAAAATAATTGTCTCAAAATAGAGTAGAATTAAAACTGATATTTTTACCAACATTGTAACTTCTTCAATATTAAAATATTTACAGAAAATAGAAGCACTCTTTTAAGTTTGAACTTTGTAGAAGAGGTGTTTTTTGTTTGTTTGTTTTTTAAAGTAGCAGGAATATATGCCCATAATGTATTTCAATACAGCTTGAATTTATGTGTATTTTATATGCAGATACCCAGTTCCACATAAATACAAATAGTCAAATCATGCATACTCTTCTCAAAATCTTTTTACATGAGAGCTTAAATTAAGGAAATGGAAAAATAACAAAATAATATTAGAAAGAATAAATGAATCCTTATTAATTCAAAGAATAGGTTTTAGACAGACCTATTAAATTGAAGTAGAATATTTTTGAACCTCAATAATAAAACAAAAACAAATGAACTAAAGATCACAAAGGGTCCAGCCAATGTGACCTCCTATGAACCAGGAGGTCACGGTTCAGTTCCAGTGAGGGCATGTACCCAGGTGGCGGCCTTGATCCCCAGTGTGGGGCTGCAGGAGGCAACCAATCAATGATTCTCCTTTATCACTGATGTTTCTATCTCTCTCTCCCTCTCCCTTCCACTCCCTTCCTCCCTGAAATCAATTATATATATATATATATTTTTAAAGATCATATAGGAATTCAATTATAATTATTTTAAACAAAATATTAGCATATAAAACTAATAGAATCTAGCATGTATTTCAAGTGTAGCTCTTCTGTCCTTTTTTTTTTAATTCTCACCTGAGGATATTTTTTTTTCCTTTTTAGAGTGTGATGTGAAAGGAAGGATATATATATATATATATAGACAGAGAGAGAGAGAGAGGGGGGGGGGGAGAGAGAGAGGGAGAGAGAGAGAGAGAGAGAGAGAGAGAGAGAGAGAGAGAGAGAGAGAGAGAGAAGATTAACATGGATGTGAGAGAAACATAACTATTGACTGCCTCCCACAGTAAGCATCCCCAACAGGGGCCAGGGATAAACCTGCAATGGAGGTACATGCTCTTGACCAGCAATGGAACCTGAAACCCTCAGTCTGCAGGCTGACGCTCTAACCAGAGTGAAATGAGCCACAGGTCTGCCATTTTTTTTAATGTTTTTAACGAGAGAGTAAGAACTTGAACCTGACTGATATATGAGTCTGTGAGAAGGAATCATAAGAAGAGGATTTCCATAAAATTCAGGCAAGGATAGCCCTCTGATCATTTCCAAGCCTCGGTGCACCAACTCCTTTATTTAAGTTCCTGGGCTCTTTACCTCTCTCCAGGTAAAGGCTCATTCTATCTTCTGTTTCTGAATTAGTGGGATCAG